CCCCGTCCCAGACCGGGTTTCCCCGGAGGGGGGGAGCCGTTGGCGCTCCCCTGGCCCCGGGGAGCTGCCGGGGCCCTGAGTCACCCCACGGCCCGCGCTCCTGCCCGGGCTTGTGCTGGGGAGCCCGGATGCGCCCAGCCCATATTTGGGGCTCGGAGCGGGGCAGGCAGAGCAGGCTGCGGGGGGACAAGGCGTGGGAAGAGGGACATGTGCCTGCCCGGTGGGGGCTGCCTGTGACCCCCAGGGACAGCCTGCAGCAAAAGCCATTTGGATGTGTGCTGAACAGCAGCTCAGGGGTGCAGCTGGCATCCCCGCTGGCACTGGCAGCCCTATGGGTGGAAAGGAGCTGGTGGCAGGGGCACAGCCTGCTCTCCTTAGCTGCCAGCCTGCTCTCCTTAGCTGCCAGCTCCTAAGGATGCCCAGGGCATGGAGTGGCTCAAGGAAATATGGGTGGATGCCCCAGGTACTCCGGGGCTTTCCCAGGAGCTGCCTGCTGGCTGTCACCTCTCCGCGGCCGTGACTGAGCCACGCCAACGTTCCTTCCTGCAGAAATCTCCTGTTGTTAGGTTTGTTTGTTTTTTTTTAATTTTCCTCAGGTTTTCTGCTTGAACATTTTTGTGTCTGACACATCGTGGGCCCAGAGCCAACAATATTTCTAAGCCATTTTGTCATAACTTTGAGTGCCAGCACAATTAACACAACAAAGTTTAGATGTTTCCTTTTGTATGTGATGCTTTCAAAGTGGGGCCTTATTATTTTTTGTAGGGTGCCTCCACTACTACCTGTTTGATTGCTGGATTTCTTTGAAGATCTGAGGAAGAGAAATCCCCACATGAAAGTCCTCCCATCTTCAATGGCACTTTGCAGCCTGGAGCAGCCAAAAAAAAAGGGGAGAAAGCAGCACCCGGAAACTTTGATCCTGTTTCCCTGGAGCACAAAGGGCTGCATCACATCTGAGCATGAGACCTGAAAATGTAATCCCGGACCCCGCTGGGGACCCGGATAACCGAGTGCTGGTAACCACCCTGAGCGCTGAAGCGCTGCTGGATCTCTGCTGGAGGAGGCAGCCAGTGGGATT